TTGTATGAAATTCTGCACGTGGTTATTTATTTATTGGTTTTTCGAGACAGGGTTCCTCTGTATTGTTTTGGAGGCTGTCCTACAACTCCCTCTGTAGACCAGGCTGGCCTCGAACTCAGAGATCCACCTGCCTCTGCCTCCAGAGTGCTGGGATTAAAGGCGTGCGCCACCAGCACCGGGCTATGTGATTATTTATATAGCATCTTTATTCATAAACTTCATGTGAGAAATAACCCATGCTCTTTCACTGGGAAGTTGATAAACAAACTATGGTATATCAATGAATGAAATACTATACAGCAATAAAAATTAGCTGGCTGCTGATGTACAGAATGGGTGAGTCACGGTGTATTATGCTGAACAAAAGAAGCCAGATTCAGGAGTCTAAGCCTGTGTGCTTCTATTTATGAGACATTTGGGGACAAGCAAAATTATTTAGGGACAGATATGTGATTGGTGGTTCCCCAGGGCCGAGGGAGGGGAAGGTCTGACATCAGAAGGACATCGAGAGGTTTTAGTGGCGATGAGAACCTTGTTTGGTTATGGTGGTGGCTACATGGCCGTGGGTCTCAGGCTCGGAGCAACACATTCGCAAGGATGCGTTTTAGTGCATGCAAGTGATGACTTAATTTGTTAAAGCTCCTTGATATTAACTGAGGAAAAAACGGGAGCCCCTGTGGCCTTTATTCATGTCGGAAATCTCAAGCAAGGGATCTGGGGTCAAAGGTGGGAAACGAAAGAGCCCCTGACCTTGCAGTGGGGGATTCTGGGAATGGCTCTGGGATTTTGTAAGGACCAGTGGAGACCAACCAGGAGGGAGGCCTCCCTGAAAAGCAAATGGAGAAGGTTCTGTGGGTAAGTGGGGTTCGGGGTACCGGGCGGGAACCCCTCAGATACTTCTCTTCCACACCCACTGCCTGGCCTCTGGCAGACACAGCTTGGAGAACACCCCACCCTGCCCTGCCTTCCCGGATCTGATTTTATGCAGCAGGAATTGATTGGTGTTGACAGGGAATGATTTGCCTGTCTAATTAATACGCCAACTAATTTTCAATTTAATTGCACATCTCGGGTCACCAGGTAAGAGGACCGTGTGATCCTCTCACCCCTGCAGGCCTTGATGTGATGTGGCAGGGGAGGTACCGGTCCCCAGGGCCCAGACACAACCTCTGGTACACAAGCAGGCCCCGGAACCCCATGAGAGTGTCTTGTATCCACACCAGCCACCTTCTCAATCGGGGACTCTTAACCATTGCTGTCCCCATAGACATTGACTTAATGCCTATTTTGTGCTTAACCCCTAACTGATAGACACGCAGGATGCCAAGAAGCCAAGACACGCCTTGCCTGCCCCTACCGCAACCCCAAATTTCTCAGTTCTGGAGAGAGGATTCTCCCTTGAACTGGAAATGACAAAACCAGGTGAGGTTAAGATTGTGCCTATCGCCGGACGGTGGTGGCGCAAGCCTTTAATCCCAGCACTCAGGAGAAAGAGGCAGAGGCGGATCTCTGTGAGTTCGAGGCCAGGCTGGACCGACAGCCTCCAAAACAATACAGAGAAACCCTGTCTCGTAAAACTGTGCCTATAAACCAGGCAGTTGTGGGGCTGGAGAGATGGCTCAGCGGTTAAGAGCACTGACTGTTCTTCCAAAAGTCCTGAGTTCAATTCCCAGCAACCACATGGTGGCTCACAACCACCTTGAATGAGATCTGGTGCCTTCTGCTGGCATGCAGAAGATTGTATACATAATAAATAAATTAAATTAAATTAAATTAAAAAACCAGGCAGTTGTGGCACATGCCTTTAATCCCAGCACTTGGGAGGCAGAGGCAGGTGGATCTCTGTGAATTTGAGACCAGCCTGGTCTACAAGAGCTAGTTCTAGGACAGCCTCCAAAGCCACAGAGAAACCCTGTCTCGAAAAACAAAACAAAACAAAAAACAAACAAAAAAGATTGTGCCTGTAATCTCAGCACTCTGGAGGCTGCAACAGGAGGGTCACTACAGGTTTAAATCAGCGTGAACTACATTCTGAGTTCCAAGCCAGCCTGGACTAGAGAGGGAGACCCTGTGTCACACACACACACACACACACACACACACACACACACACACACACACACACACAGACAATTATCCAATCTGGTTGCAGGGAGGAAAAAGAACTTCGGAGAGAAACAGTCTGGACTCTGCTACTGGGTGCTTGAGGAATTTGATTAATCTCCCTGTGCCTCGGTTTCTCAGTTTTTCTCTGAAAAACATCTCTGCTACTGTCCCGCTGCCCCAGATGTCATGTAGATCACCTCAGGTTCTGGGGGGTCTGTTTTGATGTTTCTAGATGAATTCTCTGGTCCCCTATAAACTGCACTGGGAAATTCATTCCTAGCTCAGTCAGAAAGAGCTCTGTGATCAACTAGTAATGTCTGCAAGGGTGCAGGGATGGGGGTGGTGATGGGCACCAACATTCACGTCTACTGACTCGTCTGAAGGATCTCACTGTGAAGATCAGGTGTTGGAGACAGGAGAAGCAGGGCTCCCAAGAGGTCTAAGTTCCACTCAGAGAGCTGCTCTGTGGGGAAACAAAAAAAAAATGGTGTCTAAGGTCACAAAGATCTACCTCTCTCCCAAGGGAGGCACTGAATCATTTATCACGCTAACGCTAACGCAGAGTTGAGTCCAGGTGAGACGACACACACATACTTCTTTCTTCCTTTCTGCCCTTCTCACCCTCTGGAGCTGATTCTCTGCAGTGCTTGACGAGCAGAAAGGGGAGCACAAGGAACGGGGCCAGCACTCGGGAGGCAGAGGCAGGTGCATCTCCGAGAGTTCGAGTCTACAGAGCAAGTTCCAGGACAGGCTCCAAAGCTACAGAGAAACCCTGTCTCGAAAAAAAGCAAAACGAAAAATGGGGCTCGCAGAGGAAGACCGTGGGCTTTTGAATCCCAGTGCCTGGGCTCTGCTTCCTCTCGGAAGCTGCTTGGTCTTGGGCCAACTGCTCCGTCCTCTGGTCCTTTGTTTCTCCCTCCGTGTTTTGAGGCCCAGCAACTCGTCCTGCCCTCAGTGTTAGAGAGCCAATTTGAATAAGTGTTCCACGATCGCCAAGTATGGAAGAGATCGCATGGGTTGTTTTAGTCTCAAAGGGGTTCACAGAATACCCCTTAGCAGGAAGAGCAAATCCCCATGGGGTGTTCCCTCTGCCCTGGACCTGTCTAACGGGGACTGGGCTTAGGTAATGCAGAGAATCAGATGGTGAAGGGAGAGGACGTGAGTGGAACCCAGGAATCAGAAAGATGGAGGAAAAGGAGAGTAAGCCCACTCCCAGGAGCGAGAAGGAAGAGGGCAGAAAGCAAAGGAGGCATCAGTGGCTTTGTCCTCAGGGGACAGGGACCCAGGGAAGAGAGAAGATGAAACAAGGGGAGACTTGTCTGAAATATGAATTGATTCTCTCGGTGTCTGGCCTAAAAGGAAAGAAATTCCTTTTAAAATTGCTTTTCTTTCTTTCTTTTAAGATTTGTTTATTTATCATGTATACAGTGTTCTGCCTGCCTATATTTCTGCAGATCAGAAGAGGGCACCAGAACTCATTACAGATGGCTGTGAGCCACCATGTGGTTGCTGGGAATCGAACTCAGCACCTCTGGAAGAGCAGACAGTGCTCTTAACCTCTGAGCCATCTCCCCAGCCCTAAAATTGCTTTTCTTGTCTTTGGATCAGACTTTAATTTAAGCAACGTGACTGTCCCGTTGGACCGAGCCACCTAGATGCCTAGATCTTCTTCCTCCAGAGAGTAGCAACACCCCAGAGGCATTCACTCTTCCTGCGTCCTGGCTCCTCCACAAACACTCGATCGGAGTGTCCTGGCACAGGTCCTCTAGTGTCACCCTCCCACAGATACATTTTCCTGTAACCACCTGCCACTTTGTCCCCACAGGGCTCCATTTAGTGAGCTCTCCCGGGCAGGCCAGGTGCTGGGATAAACCCGGGCACAGAGTGGCCCTCCATCACTGTTAGGTGACGGGCTGGCGGATAAAACACCTCTGAGCTCTCAGCCTCCAGGCAGGAAAGCTGAGATGTGACTATCTTAACACTCAGAAAACAGCTCTAGATGTGTCCTGTCGTGTCCGTGAACCACCGATGAGCAGAGTGGCCTACGAGTTAACCTGCCCAAGACAATTGTCCTTCTCTGCTGTTTAACCCTCCCGTGCCCCTCTCAACATCTGCACGCTCGGGTCCCCTTCCGAGACTCCTGTGCTCATCTTAGCCGATTCCCTGCAGAACCCAACCCAAGCCAGTCAGGCTCCCAGATGTTCCGCCCACAGCTGGCCTGGATCTGCTCTGGAGAGAAAGAAAGCCCAGTCGCCTCCTCAGAGGTCACAGGGTTCATTTACAAGTGGTGGCCCTCCTCCAGCCCCCAGATGGATCCCTCCAGTTCCCGGTAACCATCCTTCCCAGAGGTCAGCCCCAGGCCTGGAAACTGCAGACTGAGAAAATAGGACAATGGCAAATGTTAGCCCGAGAGACAACTCTTTGTTAGGACAAGGAAGGAGCGTGCATGGAAAGGAGGGGTCCTCGGGGGAACTTTGTTGGCCCCATCAGAGTTTGAGCACAAAGGGGACTGGAACTCAGTCACCTTGGTCCTGTCTGTCCCTTGGGCTGGAGGTGCTGCCCGAATGCTGTAACAAAGGCCCGAGGCTCTCAGGGTTGTGCAACTAAGTGGGAGAGCCTGCTCAGCCTGCGGCTTCAGCCGAAGCCGAGGAAACATCCCAGGGTTGACTGCGCCAAGGCGGTGACGGATCTAGCCCTCTAGCTTGAGGGCAGGGTGGTGACCCTCAGAGATAAGCCAATCCCTGGGCTGCAGGTGAGGAACCCTGAGAAGCACTGTCGAGGCAGTGGGAATGTTTCTCCAAATAGGCGAGAGGGGAGGAAGGGACTCTGCAGGCCAGCATGGGAAAGCCCAGAGCGTCCTAGGAATACCTGGGGCGCGGGTCCTCCCTGGCATTGTCCGCCTTCTCCCCGCATCTGGAAGAGCTCCGGGGCTGAGGGTCACGGCAGCATGAGCCGGTCAAGGCATGTGGGCAAGATCCGGAAGCGTCTGGAAGATGTCAAGAACCAGTGGACTCGGCCAGCCAGAACTGACTTTAGCGACAATGAGAGCGCCCGGCTGGCCACAGATGCCCTCTTGGATGGGGGTCCCGAGGCTTACTGGCACACTCTCAGCCAGGAAGGAGAGATAGACTTCCTGTCCTCGGTGGAGGCCCAGTACATCCAGGCCCAGGCCAAGGAGCCCCCCAGCGCCCCAGATCCCGCAGGGGGGGCTGAGGCGGGTTCCAGAGGCCTAGACACCTGCTCTACACAGTCGGGTACCTACTTCCCTATGGCTTCGGAAGGCCGCGAGACAGCCCTGCTGCATAACTGGACCTTGGCTGAGAAGCCCTACCTGAAGGAAAAGTCCAGCGCCACTGTGTACTTCCAGACCGACAAACGCAACAACATCAGAGATTTGGTCCGCCGCTGCATCTCCAGGACCAGCCAGGTACCCACGCAGAGCTGCTGCCTTCTCGGTCAGGGGCATGGGCGGGGAGAGGGCTGGCAGAGCCAGGCTAGGGGGCGCATCCTGTTCTCGCCGGTCTGGCCCGGTACGCAGACCCCTGGTCCCTGGATCCTAGGCCACTGAGGCCCATCCCCGGCACTACAGTCTCCTCTGCGGGATGGGTTTCTCTGCATGTTCTCCCCGTCCCCCTGCCTGTCACTCGACCCTGAGTCCCCTGCCGTCCCTGGCCTTGGCTTGAGGATTTTGTACTATGCTTGCCAATCGCCCTTCTCTGTTTTTCACTTGGTTCCTGCGTCCAAGGGAGGGGTGGGGACATTTTATCAGGGCTACATCCTTGTCCCTTTTTCCCCTCCGCCTCTGTTTGGACCTGACTGCCCGCAGGTGACCCTGTCGCCCCTATGCTTTGTTTTGGTTTTGCTTTGTTTTTTTGGAGACAGGGTTTCTCAGTGTCCCCATGGACTCTATGCTAAGCATATTTTTTAACGACGAGGACAGGGGGCCGGAGAAAGTTTCCCCCTTGCCAGCATGCTATTGTCTTAGTAAGACAGTGAAGGAGACTCAAGAATTCCTTCAGAACAAGGGCCCAGCCTGTAGGACCTCAGGCATCGTGGCAGACGGGGCAGGAATTCCCAGTGCTCACCTTCAGTGGCTGGCCCTGTCTGCTGGGGGCTGGGTAGAGGGGCTCGCTATAGCTCTTCCTTCCCACGGGGTGCCCACCCCTCCTTCCTGAAGCTGCAGGGCAGAAAAATCTGTCGTCTAGGGTTGGGGCGTGGCTCTATAGTGGAGAGTTTGTTTAGTGTGTGAGAGGCTCTGATCACTTGGTCCCATTACCACTGCGGGGGCGGGGGGGATCTATGAAGACATGTCCCCCTACCTCCCGTCCTACACCCCCCCCCGTGTTGGTCTCCATCTCATAAAACACACACTGATATTTATATACTCCCTTGTGGGCTCATGCCAGGATCCCCTCCCAGGATCAACATTGGGTGACATCTTAAAGAGCTGGGGAAAGCCACCAAGGCTGGGGGCACGGAGCGGTATGAGGGAGCAGAGTTCCGGAAAACTAAACACAAGGTGTCAGTGGGTGGAGCCACTGAGGGGGGGGGCTGCTTGGGAGCTGTGTTTCCTGACACGGTTGACACCGGCAGTTGACAGATGACCCAGGCAGGCTCTCAGGAGCCTGGGAAGCCCAGGGCTGCCCTGTGACACCTCAGGCAAGTGCTGTGACACCTCAGGCAGCTGCCCTGTGACACCTCAGGCAGCTGCTGTGCTGCACAGAGTCTGAGTGTGCTGGCTCTGGTCTCTCGGGTGACTGGTGCTCTCCTAAGGGTGGGACTTGTGTGCGGGGAACCCTTGCCCACTGCTTCAGGGCTCCAAGGACGCCAGGGCTAGCTGTGACACCCAGCTCTCTGCTTGAGTAGCCTGGTTTCCTTGGGCACACCTGGCAAGCCCAAGCCTTACTAATGTTCTTTGTATGACCCAGCGTGTTATGGATCTTAGAAAATCTGCAGGTTTCATCTAAGTGTGGACCTCCAGGGCCTCTTAGCAGGTAGGAAGACGGGAATGCTCTGGAGTGAGTTATGGTGACCTCTGACTCTGGATTCCCTAAAGTGTCCCTGTCGGCCGGAGCCTCCTGAGGCTTCACTCATATTTAATGCCTTCCCATCATCTGTGGGCTGACTTTGTGACATGCCTCACACATGCAAAGCCCATATGAGCACACAAGCACCCATTTCAACATACACACACACACTCACACACGCACGCACGCACGCACGCACGCACGCAGGCTCAGGACAGCCTGTTCCCACAGAGATCGTGACAGACATGGACAGATGATGGATAGGCTATCATAGAAGCAGGGGATAAGAGGAGGGAAGAATACTGGGCTTGAGCTCCCCCATCCCCTGAGAGGACGGGGAGTCCACTCTAGAATGTTCCCCACCCTAAGAAGCAGGATCCTCCCTCCTCCTTCCTCCCTTCAGGCCAAATTCCTTCAGTCCACCCAGCCCAGGGCAGCAAAGCAAGCCCCAGGTCTCCCTGCCTGAGGGAGGCCCCTGTCAGCTGCCTGTCCCTGGGGGAGAGGACTGGAGTCTTCCAGGGGTCAAGCTGCAGGTGAGGTAAATCTCAGCGCCCGCCCACCCGGGAGACAGTGACTGAGTCAGGGTGCTGACAGGAGGTGGCCTCTGAGAGACAGGGGCTGAGTAAGAGTTTTCCAGGAGAGAAGGGGGGGGGGGAGAATTCCAGGTAGAGAGAAGTCAGGAGGGTCGGCGGGGCGGGGGTGACACCACCATCTACCCGGTGGGACCCCAAGGAGTCAGGAGGAAGCCAGGATGGAGGCGGCGAGGGCAGCAAGTGTGTTGTGCCTTTGGGCAAGAGAATGAGAAAAACAGAGCTTTCCCAAGTTAGGTCACAAGTCCCCGGGGGGTCCCTGGGGGCTTTGCAGTGTTTCTGTGACACTCCAAATACTTATCTGTGTGGGGGAAGATGATTTAATTATCCCCCCTGCTGTAGACTCTCACGTGGGTTCTGACGGTCCTGTCTCTACCCTCCCGAGCGAGCGCTGGCATGACAGGCATACGCCACCACACCCAGTTTATGTGACGCTAGGAGTTGAACCTGGGCCTTTGTGCATGCTAGGCAAACACTCTGTTAATGGAGTCACACCTTATCCCCCCACACACACACACTAATGCTTCTGCTCTCCGTGCTGTGCAGCAGGCCGAGGCGGGGCGTTGGAGAAGCCGCAGGGTCCTGTGGAGGCAATCATAGATGAGTAAAAATGTAAAGTCTCAGGGCCAGGGGCTGCTAAGCACTTGTGATGTGAGGTCGTGGGTTTGGTTCCCAGCACTGCTCACAAACATACACAAACATGCACAAAAATACACAAACATACAACGTATGAGGGGCAAGGAGGTCATGCTGTCCGCCACCACTTTTGAAAACAGGTATTTCCTGAAACCTGTTCTTTATTTTATAGTGGGTTGGACCGCTGGTAGTTTCAGAGAGCAGAAAACCATTTTTTCAGGCTTAGTTTCTCATCTCAGTAGGTGGGAGACGCATAGACAAAAGATAATTGTTAGGAGTGCTAAGAGATACTCTGTGTACTTTACCTGGAGCAGAGGTAAAGCAGGGTTGCGTTCCTGACAGGAAAACAGAACCGGAATGCTCCTCTTAATTCTAGAATATTCCTTGCCTACCCTCCATCCCTCAGGTTGTCACTGATGTACACAGACAGCTGGACAAAAGGATGGTCAGGGTCCTCGGGGGTGTGGGGTAGAGTGATGAGGACTTGGGTTTCCAGGATGGGGCGTGGGTAGCTCTGACCACATCCCAGCCCTGTGGTTGTGGAAAGCTGTCTTCACCCCTGGAACCTGTGGCTACCAGGAGATGCTCAGCCACCCTTTGCTGTTGTTACTGCTCTGCCAATGGTCACAAGATGAGCCAGGACACAGAAGGCAAAGGAAAGCCAGGGCACAGAGGGGCGCTGAGGGTCCCCAGGACCTATCTGCAGCACCAGCTCTGACCCCACCGTTATCCCCGTCCCCTCCCACCCCTGCGCTTGCACAGGTGAAGAATTTCCAGCCTGGGGGCCTCCCAAGGACCAGGATTTAGGGTCCACACTGCATGCTGCAGGAGCAGACACTGCGTCATCTGACAGAGTCCCTTCCATGCCTCAAAGCTGCAGGTTTCTGGAGCCAGCCTGTGAGGTTTTGCTTGCAAAATACCTTCCTTCTTCAGCACAGGGAGGCTTCCTTCCCTTTTCATGAACCATATTGATCCATCTGGCTGGCTCTAACCGGAACACATCCCACCAGCTCCTGTTCCTTTGGTTTATGCCATAGATGAGCAGGCATGAATTTTAACCCTCTTCTCTAACCGGGATTAAAACGGCATTCTTGGATGAGGTTTTTCTAGCATTGCCTGCCAGCTGTACGTATAAAGTAAGAGCGATGCTTTATTTAGCCTTACGTTAAGGTGACGTCTTTTTCTTGGATGTTGCTGGGCTTCTTAGACGCACCGTGCATGATAACTACTTTTTCCCTTTTCTTTCTTCTCTTCTTCCTTTCTTTCTTTCTCTCCCTCTCTCTCTCCCTCTCTCTCTTTCTTTCTTTTGGGGCAGGGGTTGGTTTTTTGAGACAGGGTTTCTCTGTGTAGCCCTGGCTGCCCTGGAACTCACCCTGTAGACCAGGCTGGCCTCAAACTCACAGAGATCTGCCTGCCTCTGCCTCCTGAGTGCTGGGATTAAAGACGTGTGCCACCACCGCCCAGTGGTAACTACGTTTCTCGATTTAGCTGTGTTTTGTGGGTAAGGAACTGAGGTCCAGAAAGGTTGAGTGGCTTGTTGAGGCTGGTGCAAACTGACCCCGTGACCCCTCCATGGTACTTGAAGGTTTTACCGTAGAAGTGAGGAGTCCAGCCAGAAGAACCCGGAGCAGAGGGAGGAAGCAGACTGGGCATGGGGTGAGGAGAGAGCAGCGGGTCATGGAGCGAGCACAGTGAGGTTAGCGAGAGCAGCAGCTGTGCACAGGGAGAGTAGCTGGCCGCGGAGGAGTAGCTTGGGGGAGGCAAGGGCCAGGAGACGGCTGAGGGACCTTTTAAATGTGTAACACATACATATGAGTGGTGACTGAGCGATCCTGGAGGCCAGCATGGACCTTGATATCCCATGAGTGCCATGTGTCTATGTTAATTGGACAGTCATACGTCCCTTCTGCTGGAGCTAAAGGAAATGACTCCTTTTGGTAGACAGGAACACAGGAACTGGATTCACAAGGTCCCGAGGAATGCTGGCTTTTAAGTGACCGTCAGAACTCCTCCTATGGTCCAGTTGGAGCTCATTTCTGGATATTTGGACTGCCTTGTAGAGTTTGGGGAATTGGTATTTCCTTTGGACCTGACGGACTAGTTGCCAGCAGGTCCTCTCAATCGTGTGGGGACCCTCTGTTAGTTTCCAGGACTTTGTGAAGCCACCAAAACATCTCACCACGGGCGTGGTGGCTTAGAACCACAGGAAGTTATTCTCGCACAATTCTGGAAGCCAAAAAGATGCAACGGGGGCACCTGCTGGGCTGAGCTCTCTCCAAACTCCAGGAAGAATCCTTGTTCACCTCACCCAGCCTCCAGAGGCTCCAGGTCACTTGCTCCCCAACTCGACTCTGGGTCTCTCTCTTCTCCTTGCATCTCTCCGATGCTATCTTTTACTTGGCACAGAGTCTGCGTGACCCAGGCTGTCCCAGGCCCTGGGATCTTCCTGCCTCAGCTAGAATCACAGTCTTGCACCTCGGAGGACCACTTCCTCTGTTGCCTCGTGTCGTTGGATGCAGGGCCCACTGAGTAATCTGGGAAGAACTCGCATCGAGACCCCTCACTTAAGTCCGCCTGCAAAGACATTTCCCAAATGAGGTCTCACTCACAGGTTCCAGTGATCGGGCTACGACTATGTGTTTGGGTGGGGGAGGGACCACAGTTCAATCCATGACACCTTTTAAGGAAACACCTCCCCATCTTAGCTACCATGTAGGGAATTTACGAATAATAACTCAAGCCAATTACAGGCCTCAAATTGACCTAGCTGGGAGCCCATCCCAAAGGGAAGTAAGTAAGACAAACCCTGACGCTGGGCTTCCATCTTTGCAAGCGTCTATAACCTAAATCAAGATGCCTTAACCTGTCCCCTCTGTCACTGTCTCAGAGGAACACCTCTGCTACCCTGGGAAGGGTGTGCTCTCTTCTGTCTGTGTCTGGGAAGTGCAGTGTTTATCTCAGCTCGTAGAAAGAAGACCCTGGCCGGGCGTTGGTGGCGCACGCCTTTAATCCCAGCACTCGGGAGGCAGAGACAGGCGGATCGCTGTGAGTTCGAGGCTGGGCTGGACCGACAGCCTCCAAAACAATACAGAGAAACCCTGTCTCATAAAAACAAACAAAAAAAGAAAAAAGAAAAAAAGAAAGAAGACCCTGGTCACTGGGCTCTTATTTACTTTACAGACATTCAGCCGTGTGACACCAGCCGGGGTTCTGGCAGATTACTGGCCTCAAGAGCAAGTTCTCAGGGTCCCCTCCCTTGTGCAGACACCCACATCGGCTAAGCCGTCATCCCCACACAGGTCCCAGGCACCTCTTGGCCCACCAATGAGATGCGGTGTTCTCTGTCCTGTTGACGCCTTAAAAAACAAACAAAACAAAAAGCATCGTCACGGGGCGGGGCACGTTGACACAGGATTGTCATCCCAGCACTTGGAGGCTGAAGTAGAAAGATTGCAAGTCAATGCTGGCCTTGGCTGCACAGGGAGGCTCAAAGCAAAATGAAATGGAGAACATGTGCACGCATGCCCACGCGTGTGCGTGTGCACGCACACACACACACACACACACACATCCATACCACCTATGTACGTATTGTTGGTAACACGATGAAACAATATTGTTATAGCTATGCTAGTTACTTGTCCCAATGTTATGACGAAATACCTGAGAGAAACCAAATCCCCAAAGTTCTGCAACCTCCCCAAGCTCACCCCAATCTGGTGGCCAAGTGTTCAAGCATGTGAGCTTGTGGGGGACAATTCACTGGCAAACAGCAACTTCTAATGTTGAAGAAGAAACTCTCCACGCCCTGATGTCATGACTATTAGTTTAATCTGTAATGTCCTACTGATGGTCATCGTGGAAGATGATGATTGGGGTGATTTTGGTTTTTTCCCCCCCACTTTATTCATTATTGAGCACTTATTATTCAGCAGGGTTTACCTCAGACCACAAAGCTACCACTGTGCCTTGCCATTTTAACCCCATCATCAGAGTTATCTTTTTAAATGGCTCCCTAATGATGGAACTGTCACTGTACCACAGCTCAGCATGAGGAAGGGAATAAATGAACCCAACAAAGCAGAGAAGAAGATCTGTTGACATCCTCTGTGGAAAGGTCAGAAGTAGCTTGGCACACTCAGGGAGCTGAGACAGGAGGATGGATCTGGCTTCAGGTATGGCTGGAACCAGACGTTCAGGTGCGGCGGAAGGCCCATGGCCACTGCCTGGCCTAGCTTTCTCCAGGCTGGCTTTTACTTGTGTGCGTGGTTTCCACAAGGGGCAGTGTACTGGGTCCCAGTGTCTCTAGCGCGCCAGCTACGAGCTAAAGCAAGTAAGTGGGGGGACAAACAAACAAATCCCCTCCTTTTCCCAAGAGCTCCAAACACGCCCTAGACCAGCGTTCATTAGAACAACCTGGACAGCGTGACCATATCTGGACGGGTCTCTGTGGTCAGGAAGGCATGTGGTGTTCTCACCGCCCTGGCCTTGGTCTTACGTTCTGCCTGTGACCAGTGGTTGACCAGTAGCTCCTTCTGAATTGCATTGGTAGAGAGCAGAGGGAGGGGAAAGACGAACCCTCCAAGTCTAATTGGGGTGCTGTTGATGGGAGGAGGAGGAATAGGAATTTGATGTCCTTTGGGGGACTTCCCAGTGAAGTTCTAAGGAGAAGCTTCTAGGAGATCAAGACTCCGCCATCCCACTGGCGTAGGTCTCTCTGATCTAGTTTAAATGTGGTTCTTCCACACAGGATTTTGTAGTATATGAAGTGAGGAGTCTGGGGGGGAGGGGGACCACTGAGGGGCCAGTGAGATGACTCAGCAACTAAAGAGAGTTGCTGCCAAGCCAAGAATTTGGGAACCACATAATACAAGGTGAAAACCCACTTCACAAGTGGTCCTCTGACTTCTACATGCACACACTGGCATGCTTGCACGTGTGTATACACACACATACATACACACACAGACAGAGAGAGAGAGAGAGAGAGAGAGAGAGAGAGAGAGAGCGACAGACAGAGAGAGAGCAGGAGGAATGGAGAAGAGAGAAAAGGAAGAAGAAACATCAATAAATGAAATTCTAAAGAGATTAAGAACATTTGAAAAGCAGTGACTGCCAGGTTGATGGTGGCGCACGCCTTTAATCCCAGCACTCGGGAGGCAGAGGCAGGCAGAGGTCTACAAGTTCAAGGCCAGCCTGGTCTACAGAGTGAGTTCCAGGACAGGCTACAAAGTTACACAGAGAAACCCTGTCTCTAAAAACAACAACAAAAAGGAAGGAAGGAAGGAAGGAATAGAAGGAAGGAAGAAAGGAAGGAAAGAAGGAAGGAAGGAAGGAAGGAAGGAAGGAAGGAAGGAAGGAAGGAAAAGAGCAGTGGTCATATGTACCATCTACCTCCAAGTGTCTGAGACCACCCAATGTCGCTTCCTTTCTCCCCTCTGAGCCTGCTAAGGGGCCGGTTTGCCTACCTTCAGCTTCCTACTCCCCTGCCACCTTTTCCCTCAGAACTTCTCAGCACGAAGACATGTGCCTAGACCTGATGTGGCCAAGACAGGTGCCAGAACCACCAACCCCCCTCGCTCTTCCTTTCCCTTCCTCTAATGCCTCCCGGTCAGGCCCTCCCCTACCCCACCCTTCCCCTCTGGCTCTCTGAGACCCCCTGGGATTTAGGAGGTTTGGCCGAGCCCTGATAGCAGTGCCCCGACTTCTCTGGTAACAGAGCCCTCTCTCCTGGTCCAGGTCCTGATCATCCTGACGGATATGTTCACAGACGTGGAGATCTTCTGTGACGTTCTAGAGGCAGCCAACAAGCGAGGAGTATTCGTCTGTGTGCTTCTGGACCAGGGAGGTGTGGAACTCTTCCAGGAGATGTGCGATAAAGTCCAGATCTCTGATACTCATCTCAAGGTAGGGGTGCAGTGACAGTCTAAGGCTATCCATCAGATAAGGGGTGTAGTGGCAGTCTAAGGGTACCCGTATCCATCAGATAAGGGGTGCGGTGACAGTCTAAGGGTCTCCATCAGATAGGACAGTGGTTGTTCATGTCCCATAATCAGTATCTCAGGGAGGCTTATTTCTTGCTCAAATTTCTATATAGGTCAACCAGCCCTCTTCCGACTTCTGGGGTACCCTAAGGGTCTTGTGGTTGAGAATGAGGACTGGAAAATTCTAAAGGACATTGTTAGGCCCTGAGCTGGATGAGATGTCCATTTCTACCTATAATCCTTTAACCTTGAAAGAGTGGATGAGCCGGGCATTGGTGGCACATGCCTTTAATCCCAGCACTCAGGAGGCAGAGGCAGGCAGATTTCTGTGAGTTCGAGGCCAGGCTGGACTGACAGCCTCCAAAACAATACAGAGAAACCCTGTCTCGTAAAACCAAAAAAAAAAAAAAAAAAAGAAAGAAAGAAAGAAAAAAAGAAGAGTGGATGAATTGGGCGTGAGAAGTTTCAGAGCACCACAAATACCCAGTTAGCAGGCTACATTTTTCTCTCCTCTCAGCGTTGGAAACAAGGTTGATACACCTCACAGCACAGGGCAAGCCCCAGGGCCAGATGTGTCTTGAACTCCCTGAACCCAACAGAAAGTTGGTGTTCTTAGTTTAACAAGATCCTCCTCTAGACACACACATGCACACTTCCCTCTCTTGGCAAGAAGAAAAGAAACACAGAGATAAGGATTTAATTAGTCATGCATTGACTAACGGAAAGCATTGAGTCCAAGTCAAAAGGAAAAGTAGTCATAACTTTCATGAATAGGTCCAGCTAATGGATGGCCCTCTGGGCTCCTTGTATGTCCCCCCGCTCCCAGCTCAGACACATCCGCCTCCAAAATACCTCCCCACCCACGGACTGGGAGGCAGCTGAGTTCAGGGATCCCTCCCGATGCCCCTGACTACAACTAGTCACTCAGAACCAGGCTGGCATTCCCTGGATCTCTACTCCTTGGCAAAAGGTCATTATAATAGATTGAGTCAATGCAGGCCTTGCCTTCATGGACCACATCTACAGAGCAGTGGGTGTGTCCTCTTGCCACTGAGATGCTGGGAGGCGCTTCTAGAGGCCCTGGAGTGCCCTTCCCAGAGACTGATGGCCAAGGACAGGCGCTGGTGGGGTCCTGGCCGTATTCCACAACCCTTGGTCATAAGCCTGCAGTAAATCCCCGCACATCCCCTGCTTTCTCATTTCTAAAGTCTTCCATGGAGTTCAGCTGAGGCATGGACACCAGATGTTGCCAGGGAGACAAGATACAGAGTTAGGATTGTGGTGGTGAACACACCTTTTCTCCAAATGGTCCAGAGTTCATGGGGGCCTTCACAACCTGCCCCCTCTTGTTATACTGGACCAGCTCTTTGACTAGCTTAGAGTAAGGAACTCAAGCCACTAAGGTCACCTATGGACTCGCTCCTTGATAATGCAAACATTTTGTGGTCTATAAAGGCCTAGACCAGGGCTCCCTGGTCATCAATCCTCGTCTTTCTTTTATTTGCTGTCTTATTTTTATTGGAATTTTATCCATTCTTCCCCCCCCCCCCATTACCATCTATTGCCAGAGCAATGAGGAAAAAACTTAGAAAACTTGGCCAACAAGGAATGTAAATAACGCAGAATCTCTCCAAGCTTAGATAAAATCTTTGTGAGCATCCTTCCAATTCCCTATGCAAATTGTCTTGGTGTGTTTGGGCTGCTATAGCAGACTGTTGTAGCCTGGGTGGCTTATAAACAACCAAGATTTATTTCTCACAGTTCTGGAGGCAGAGAAATCTAAGATCAAGATGTCTGCAAATTCAGCGTTGGGTGAGGCTCTCCGCCTTGTGTGTAAATGCCTGTCTGGCTGTGTCTTCTTCATACGGCATGTAGCACGGGGAGCTCTCTGGTCTATTGCATAGGATACTAATCCCCTTTATGAGGCTCCACCCTTCTGAGCCAATTACTTCCCAAAGGCCCTGGAACCACCGCATTGGAGATTAGGTTTCGACATAGAATTGGGGAGCATGTTCGGTCATAGCACTCATGTTTATCGATAAACACAGTGGGTAAATGACACCCTTGCTTTGCTTCCAACAGAACATTTCCATCCGGAGTGTGGAAGGGGAAGTGTATTGTGCCAAGTCAGGCAGGAAATTCGCTGGCCAAATCCAAGAGAAGTTCATCATCTCAGACTGGAGAGTTGTCTTATCCGGATCATACAGGTGAGGACTAGTTTCCTGCGCTGTCAAGGCTCCCTGGCAGTGAAGGGCCAAGGGAGGCGCTAGCTGGACCCCAGCAGCTCCCAGGATGCACGTGTTCTCTCTGTCCACAGAGGTCATCTAATAAGTGGAGTGAGCAGTGAGAACTGTGGCCCCTTCCCGGTACTGAAATCAGACACAGAATTCTCTTTTCGCCCTCTCGGGCCTCTGAGGAATTGTTATAAAGCAATGGGTTTGCTTGTGTGTGGCACGATCCATTTTGGTTTTATTTTTTTATTGTGAGCGTGTGAGTGCACACGTGTGTGTATAATGTGAGGGAGTATCCATGCAGCCAAAGGTTGTTCTGTCGTCTTCTACTCCGCCTTATGCTTTGAGACAGGGTTTTGTTGCAGAGATTCTTGTCCCGCCAGGTCCTGCCGCCCTTCTCAGCCCCAAATAAACACACAGAGACGTGTATTAATTACTAAACTGTTGGCCGATGACTCGGGCTTCTTATTGGCTAGCTCTCTCTTAATGTTTGCATAGCATCTCAGTCTGCTTGTATAGTTATAGCAAAAATACCATAAGTTGGCTAGTTTATGAGTAATATAAATTTATGTCCCATAGTCCTGAAGGCTAGAAAGTCCAAGGTAGAACTGGTAGCCAGCATAGAGGCTAACCAAGACCTATTTCCTGGCTCTCGGACATTATTGTCTTATAAGGAGCCCTTGATACCTGTCATCTATACAAAAACCAAAAAAATCAGAAACTGAATCTACTGAGAAGACCTTGGATGACCACCTCAGAGATCTGTCTTCCATCTCGTCTTCAGCCAGCAGGTTACAGAGAAAGGAGGAACAAAGGCTGTCTGTCAGCTCGTCCACTTTGTCCCTGAGGTTCTGCCTATTCTTGTCAGGGTCTCTCTGTACAGTGAGAGGGAAGGCTCCCATCCATCAAGGCCAGTGAGATTTGCATTCAGCTTGGAATGGTGTTTGATACACAGATAGTAAGTTAACTCAGAAACAAAATCTGAGCAGGGTGTAGGTGCTAAGCTTCAAGTAGATTGCTTCCTACAGAGTGAAGTACAGATGTGTCTTTATAACACATACTATGAAATGCCCATAGCATTTTTACTAAGAAAAGCCGTGTTCACACCACACACACACACAGCAAAAGGGATGAAGGAGGTATCTGTAGTCTTTTGTTTGTTTGTTTTTGTTTTTGGGGACGGGGTTTCTCTGTGTGGTGGTCCTGGCTGTCCTGGAATTCCCTTTGTAGACCAAACTGGCCTCGAACTCACGGAAATCCACCTGCTTCTGCCTCCCGAGTGCTGAGATTACAGGTGTTGGCCCCACTTTCTAAAGGTTCCACAGCCCTGCAAAGCAATGCCACCACTTGAGGATCAGAATCCAAACAGACAGAGCCCCTGGAAGGCATTTCAGCTTCAAACCATGACTGGCACTTAATGTCACGAGGGCTCCACCCTCAAAACCTAATCATTGTCTGAAGCCTCCCTCGCCCATATCACCATATTAAAATTTTAACCTGTGAATTCTCAGGACATCAACATTGCGTTCTGACACAAGCATCCCTTTTCCCAGATGATTTGTATTACCAGAGGCTACTGTGAAACCCAGTCAGGAGCCACAGTGTTGTTAAGGAGTCATATTGTTATACATTGTTATTAAGTCTTCATCCCCTACAAGAGTAAGTTTCTGTTTCCTAAGCCTAATGTATCCTGCAAACCATGGTTTTCAGGCTACGCTGAACTTGTGACCCCATGACATGGGTCTACCCACTTGCCTTGCTAAGCTCCTGCACCTGTGGTATGTGAGTGCCCTTTTGCTTTACTGAAATGTCTTCCCAGATAAGAAATGTGTCTTCCCAGATCCCGAGATGACTCCAGTTCTTGCTCTTATCTGCAGGCTGGAGCCCTTCAACCCCCAGCCTTCTGCACAGGTGCTTCTAACAGCCCATTATCCTGACAGCTGCTTTCTATCAACCCCAACCCTTTCCCTAAAAGAAACTTCAAACACCACTGAGGGGCTGCTCTCTGAAAACCCGGCTTTGGGAGAGGCAGCCGCCAGCTGGCAGATCTAAATACAGCTTGCTTTAATCAGACAGTCATGGAATTGGTTTTTGTTTGGTTGGTTTTTCCAGGTCTAACACAAGTGACTTTACACAGAGAAAGGTTTTGTTTGGTTTAGTTTGGGAAGATTAGCCTGGCCTCTGGTTGAAGGTGGTCCATTATGACAGGAGCGAGTAGAAACCAATGCGCACATAAAAAAAAACAAAAAACAAAAAACAAAAAACCAGGGCGAGAAACAGGAAAGGCAGGGCCACAATGCTTTTTTATCATTATTGTATTCGTGTGTATGGGCATTTTTCTTGTATGTGTGTCTGTGTACTATGTGGTGCCTGGTGCCTGGAGAGGCCAGAGAGGGCATCAGATCTCCTGAACTGGAGAGGGGGGCGGGTTAGAGATGGTTGGGAGCCACCATGTGGTCCTCTGGAAGAGCATCCAGTGCCATTTCCCCAGCCTGCCCACAGTGCCTTCAAGGACCTGCCTCCCAATTACCTAAGGTCCTCTCCTCAAGCCCCGCCCCCTACCCTATCAACCCAGGGAGCAAGGCCTTAATGCATGGGTCTTTGGCAGGCCCTCACCATACCCAAACTATAGCACCGATATCTTCAAACTTTCTCTTATACTTTGACAGTTGTCCTTGATACAAAAATATGCCTGAAGTATGTTATTGGGCTCTTTTTTCTAATAGGTCTTCTGTACCCTGGGATAGGTTTCTCTGCCCAGACAGGAAGCCAGATCAAGCTGAACTGAAAAAGTAAAAGAGAGGGTTTATTTTGGGCAAAGCAACTCCCAGGTGAGTCCTCCAGCCCCCAGCGATGGAGGCAGGAGGAGGGGCAGGAGAAAATCAGCTGGCTGAACTAAAGCAGGCCACTTACATACCCTGTAGTCTAGGGGTGATGATGTGTGTGCCACAAGCTGGGTTTGTGCCCAAGTATGGTACCATTTAGGCGGGGACTTTAGGGGTGGAGCTACCATAGTCACCAAGAATATGGGACTGGGCTTTTTGGAGCCTTCCCTTTATTGGAGATTCTCTGAGAGGGGGTGGTTTGGAGAGGCTGGAATGGGGCTTCCTCGGGCCCAAGCTGGAAGTTCCAGCCAGACCTTTTCCTATTCCTCTTATTAGTACGCTAAAACTCACCATGTGACATGAAATTAATTATTTCAATGCTTGATTCAGTGGCAATCATCACCATTTAGTTATGAAATATTTTCATCACCCCCAAAAGAAACTCCATACTCATTGAGAATTCACTTTCATTTCCCCTAGTGACCACCAGGCTCTATGCGGTATTTTGTGACTTTGGGGGATTTGTACCAGCTGTGACAGGCATCAGTATTTTATCCCTTTGAGAGATGGATATCCCACTCTGTGATGTACCACAGCTCGCTCACCCATTCACCCATTCACTGGGACGTTCCATCCCCAGCATCTAACAACCCAGGGTCTGGAAGTCTCACTCAGGCACTTTCCTTTTAGAAGTGGGGCTTTGCCTCTGTGGGGAGAGGAGAGGTGATTTAGCCAATGGCTGATGACCGTCCTGAGAAACAGAGCAGGCCAATAAAATGTGCCTCGTTAGAAGCCATAAGCTGCTTTCTGTCCACATGACCACGGAGCAGCTCAGGAGAATTATTGCAAGGATGATGAGGAAGATGGCCTCTAAGGCATTGTATCCCTCCACAGTCCCCTCGCTGCTGGAGAGACTGGCTGAAGCTGTGGCCCCAGAGAGGGGGCTCGCCACCCAGGAAGGTCTGATTACTTATCTATGGAATCACCTGTGTAAGCGAGCGTACAGTGAAACCACTCTACAAGACCACGCTGCGGGTAGAAAGGTTTATTAGGGATGCAACTGCCAAGGCTGGCCCTCCGTGTGTGTGTGTGTGTGTGTGTGTGTGTGTGTGTGTGTGTGTGTGTGTGTGTGTGTGTGTTAACAACCTGGGAAGTGGATGAGGACTTGGATCTGTTACAGGCTTGTTTGAGTCCATCTGGAGCTAGACGCTCGTCGCTGGAGGCCATTGGCTGCAGGGCACAGACAAGGGAACCATGGCTTTCCTGACAGACACCAGCCTCACAGGTTTCTGGGGAATGCTAGCAGTCCTGTTAGCCTGAGCTGAGCCCAGACTTCAGTCGTTGTCAGCAGCACTGCTCGGGATGCTCTTTGGACCCCACCCGTCTGTGTGGCCGCCTCCTGACTTTTGTTCATCTTTTCTGTAAAGTGTCAGTCAGCACTGCTAACAAAAGAGGTGAAGAGAAACGAAGGACTTTTCTCGCCCCAGTTCTAGCCTGAACAGGAAGTGAATTCACCTCCCTTCGCTCATTCCTGACTCCTGCTTTTCTTTTGCTGTGAGCACAAGGCACGGATTCCAGAATCTGCTAGCAGCTTTGGGGGAGCCAGTCAGGAGTGGGAATCCCAGGCTGCCCAGCCAACCCTGCAGCTGGAGTACTGAGAATTCCAGCTACTGCTGGGATCCTGGAAATTTCCCCCTCTTAGTGCGGTGTTGACTGCGTACATACGCATCTCATTGATGAACTGGTTGAGGGAAAGGCTTTACTTTTTCTTTTTCTTTTTTCCTTTTTCTTTTTTCTTTTTCTTTTCTTTCTTTTTTGACTTTTCATTTGAAAAACTTCTCTGGTTTGCAAGCTCTCACACTTTCTCCGGGCAGTCGGCACTCGTCTGTAAAGAGGTTTGGAAGAACCAAGTTACATTTGGAGTTCTTACCGTGTAGGGGCCTCTTTGGTTTCATTTGAAAACTGTGGAGGAAAAGAGTGTGCGCCTGGGCCTTTGCAGTCATTTGCTTCTACAGATGTTTTATCTGTAGTATTGGAATAAAGATTCCACATCTGTGGCTGGGCAGTGGTGGCACACACCTTTAATCCCAGTACTCGGGAGACAGAGACAGGCGGATCTCTGTGAGTTCGAGACCAGCCTGGTCTACAGAG